TTGGCGGCTATGAATGTTAGTTCGAACTAACGTCCGTTAGTTCGAACTAACATTGTAGTGTAGACATACCCTGAGGATCTCTGAGAGGACATCTCTTGGTGCTTGAACCTCTACAGCTCATATGATGTCCCCCACTTTAATTTAAAAAAAAAAAAAAGGTTGAGCATGAAGCTAGTATGCAGCGAAGAGAAGGCCTCTGTCTCTTGCTCTGATTCTCCTTCTGAAGGGTAAAGAATTGTCTGATCTGTTTCCTAACTCTCAATAGCTGAGGAAGGTCTCCATTATCTCTCTCTATTCCTCAGCTTCTAGTAGATAAGGCAAGGAAGGAACATCTCACCACTGCCTCTCTATGAACTTGAGGGAGAGGAGTCTCTCCCTCCCCTACTTTTAGTGACCAAAGGAGTCTCCTCCTTCTGGATTTCTGCTAGGATGTTGTTAAACTGAGACATAGATGGTTAGTCCTAATCGTTACAACAGTGGTGGCCATGAAATCAGACCAGAGACTCCAGGCAATTGTCAGAATAGAAATCAAGACTAGAATTAGAACAAGGAACAGTCTGTCTGAACCATCAAGTAGCAGGTTTTATTCCCAGCAAGATAATGATGTTGAGCAGACTGGAGTAGCTACTCTCAGCAGGAGCCTATATTCCTGGCTTTGGGTATCACCTGATTAAACCTTCATTTGTAGATTGAGCCCTGGTTGCTTGACAGCCACAGAACTCTCTAGTACTCAGGCTCAGAGATGACTAATTTTAAAAGATACTGTCATAGGTGTCATGGGCAGGTCACAGGCAATAAACAAAAATTCATGGAAGCTTGCAACCTCTCTGAATTTTACTAAAAAAAGCTAGTTAGTGGGGGAAGAACAGAGACTAACAGTGGGAGTCCATCAGGGATGACTACTGGCTGCAGCTCCAGGCCGTCCAGTACCATAGGCTGAAGCTAAAGAAATCATGGATGTCTGATAAAGTCACAGAATCCATGACCTCAGTGTTACAATCGTATCCCGAGAGAGGACTCGTTACTGGATGATGCATTCCCCACAACCTATGAGGCATTAGAACAGCAAATGGAGAAGAGGTAGAAGAGCTTACTTTGCCTCCTTACAATGAGTGATTATGGTGCCACCTTCCACCTCTTATTCACGCAACCTTATAATACCAGTGGCATGCAAATTGAAGAGCTTATCATCTTGCAAAGCAAGTCACTTATAGCATGAGAATGTGTGATGGAGTATGTCTTCTCTGTACTGAAACCAGGAAAGTCATCTGGTATTTACGCTAAAACAACAAAAGAGGCAGTGTTTCAGATTATTTTCATACCATTTAAATGACCTTATTGCTATTCTTTATAGAAATATAAAATAACGTGTACAAGTCGCATAGTCTATTTGTTTTAACTCAATGTATTCCTTTGAGTTCATCTTTTAACTTTGAATCAATTTTGCACTTGTTGAAAAATGCTGGATTAAGAGCCCAGTATCCTGGAGCCTGGCATTTTCCCAAGATGGGAGAGCTGACGCAACAGCATGGCAACATTTCCTCTAAATGTTGGAGCCACGCTAGCTCAATCTTGCTCTGATAGGCCCATTCAGGCAACAAGGGTACCAGTTGGTGGCAGAGATTTCTGACTTAGACATTTGGAAGTGGCACAGGCCACTAACTCATTTCATATAACCTACTAGAGAGTCATCTGTGGTTCCAGAAATGCAGCCACTACCAACCCAAACTGGATTTGATCCTGTGCAGGTGAAGGTGAAAAGATCTACATCTGCTTACTAATATCTTGAGCCAAAGCACATGAATCTGCTCACTATTGTATATGCATATGTCTTTCAATTAATTAACGTAATGCTAATTATCCCCCTAAATTAAAGTATTAATTACAAAATATCCACTATCAGAGGGTACTTCCAAATGCTTCATCAATAGGAGGAATTTAATCTGGCCCTTAGTTAGAGGTCTGCCTGCCTTCAGAGCAAGATGACCACAGAGTGATGGCTGTTGGACAGGCCCCCAACTCTGAACACAGCACAGAATGGCAGCAATACCACAACTCCTCCAGCAATAACATTGTGACACTTCTGACACCTCTCCACAATTCCTTTTTTGGTCAGGACCCCTGAAATTACAACACCATGTGGCATTTCAAATTAAAACATCTGAAATTGTGAACCTAACGGTTTTTTAAATCATATGACCACAACACTGACAAAAATGGACCGCAAATTTGATTCCACTTTTGTCTTTAGAAGAATGTTTGCTCTCATTGACATGTACCATTTTATATCTGAAGTTATGAGTATTGGCTCTGTACTAGTATTTCACGTTTCTTCTGGGAGATTATTAACAGGTTTCACACACCTGTTGTGAAAGGGCTGCTACTTAACTGACTAGCAATACTTGACTGACAATACACCTCAAGTATCAGAGGGGTAGCCGTGTTAGTCTGGATCTGCAAAAGCGACAAGGAGTCCTGTGGCACCTTATGGACTAACAGATATATTGGAGTATAAGCTTTCATGGGCAAAGACCCACTTCGTCAGAATATCCACTAATCTGACGAAGTGGGTCTTTGCCCACAAAATATCCACTAACACCCAAAGTTCAATAATTAATGTGAAAAGTAGAAAAATCATCTGCTCTTCAAAATGGTTTTGTAATTAACTGAAAAATCTGGGCCTGCAATCCAGTCATGTAGGTACTGATCAGTGCTGCTCCTGTTTGTCCTTGACTAAACAGTTATTAACAACAGAGATCTAAATCTGCATGCAGGTCCAGACAGACTATACATGATGTAAATTTTAAGGGTCTTATATAGCTCCCTCTCATCCTATGACTGTTGTCCACCTCCAAGTACTCAGTGCTATTCTTCATTATGACCTTCATGTGACTGAACCCCTCCAGCTTACTAGATTCGTCTTCACATGTTTTCTAGGCTCCATAGCCACAGATGATACCATGGATGAAATCCCAGAGTTTGGAGCTAAAGTAAAACTTCCCAAACAGTGAGCAGATGTACTGTTAGGGCATTAAGTGTGTGCCAGGATTCTCTCCTGGAAGATGGGAAAGGGATTCAGAAACTCATGTCTATCAGCTTGGATGTGTGCAAATACAAGGTCCTTTGAGGCTTTAAGAGGTCTCTATGCCATATGATGATGAACATAATTATGTCTTTAGATTGGAGAAAACCCTCTGCCACTAGAAAGTTTGGATCAAAATTCATGAATTTTATCTACTCACTTCAAAGTCTTGAAGATCAGCAAAATTTTAAGCGGGAAAGATTGTAGATAATTTGACAGGATTCAGGAAT